TCTCACCCCCTTCAAGTAAATCCTAGGTGACCAACTGTTAATTACATTTACTTAATAAATATCAATTAATTTATTAGAACAGAACTAAAGTCAGCTAGGCTGGGATCATCTTTCAACAATCACACAGTCTTGGTTTGGCACTACTTCCAATAACAACTTGCATTTCACCCTCAGAGAAGTCTGAAATCTGCTTTTCTCAGGGAGATGGATCTCCTCACAGTGGACCTTGGCTTCCTGGGATGCATTGTCAAAGATGTCATAATGAGGAAACATGAACAGCTTTAATGTCCCCTTCACCCTATTTCTACCTCACAACACCTCTCAGTTTGATCACTAGGATTTTGTGGGTTTTAAAGTCACATGGGACAACGTCTCAGGATGTCAAAAATAATTCTCTTGTCAACTGGCTAAAGATATGGATCTGTTGAGGCTACATACTCTGAAAAAAATCCAGAAATCACTGTCCCCATTCTTCCTGCTTCAGGTAAGCTCGTTTGGCCATTTCTCTCAATTCCACTCACCCAGAAGCAGCAGCAGCTCTGGCTGCTGGAAGCCCAGGGAGGTGGTCACAGCTTTCTTCCTCACACATTTTCATTTTGTCTGCCCCTTCCCCATGGCACTCTGAAGAGACCTGGGCAATGCCAGCAGCCTTTGCTTTCCCAGTCTGGAACCTGGTGAAACTCTGCCAGTCTGCCAGCACAGACCCCTGCCTAAACCAACCTTTTTCCCTGCACTGGCCACCAGAGAAAGCAGTGCAGGAGTTACAGTCAGTGTTTCAAATTACCTTAATGACAATAAGGCTGAGTGGCCATGGGTAAGAATCAAGGAAAAGCCAACAAGGCTGGTATTTTCAACAGTCTCACAGCTTGTTCTCAGGACAAGTGGCCTCCTGAGCTGGAAGATGGGGACAGGGAGCAAAATAATAATCCTGTTATTCAGCAGGAAGCAGTTGGTGACCCTCTGAGCCTCTTAGATGCTCACAAGTCTATGGGACCAGATGGGATCCATCCTAGGGTGCTGAGGGAGCTGGCAGAAGGCTCACCAAGCTGCTCTCCATCATTTACCACCAGTCCTGGCTCATCAGGGGGGTACCTGATGGCAGAAGGTTGGCCAGTGTGACAGCCATCCATAAGAAGGATTGGAAGGAGGATCCAGGGAGCTCCAGGCATGTCAGCCTGACCTCAGTGCCTGACAAAGTTATGGAACAGATCATCTTGAGTGCCATCATTTGGCACCTACAGCAGGGATTCAGGAGGGGCAGGTCCTGCCTGACCTCCTTTTATGACCAGGTGACCTGCCTGGTGGATGCAGGGAAAGCTGTGGATTTTGTCTACCTGGACTTTGACACCATCTACAGGGGCCTGGACAGGCTGGATCCATGGCCAAATCCATCACTAGGAGGTTTAACAAGAGCAGGAGCTGAGTCCTGCACTTTGGCCACAAGAACCCCTGCAGCACTACAGGCTGGGGACAGAGCAGCTGGAGAGAGGCCAGGCAGAAAGGGACCTGGGGTACTGGCTGATGGCAGCCTGAACAAGAGCCAGCAGTGTGCCCAGGTGGCCAAGAAGGCCAATGGCATCCTGGCTTGGATCAGGAATAGTGGCCAGCAGGAGCAGGGCAGTGATTCCTCCCCTGTACTTGGCACTGGTGAGGCTCCACCTCAAGCCTTGTGTCCAGTTCTGGGCCCTTCAATTTAGGAAGGATGTTGAGGTGCTGTGGCACATCCAAGAAGGGCAATAAGGCTGTGAAGGATCTGGAGTGCAGATCCTATGAGGAACAGCTGAGAGAGCTGGGGGTGTTTAGGCTGGAGAGGAGGAGGCTCAGAAGAGACCTTATCACTCTCTACAACTCCCTGACAGGAGGGTGCAGCCAGGTGGGGGCTCAGCCTCCTGCCCCAGGCAACAAGAGACAGAATGAGAAGACACATCTTAAGCTGCACCAGGGTAGGTTTAGGCTGGACATCAGGAAGAATTTCTTCACAGAAAGAGTGACTGGGCATTGAGATGGGCTGCCCAGGAGCTGGTGGAGTCACCATCTCTGGAGGTGTTTAAGGTGCACTCAGTACCATGGTCTGGTTGACAAGGTGGTGTTAGGTCATGGGTTGGATTTGATGATCTCAAAGGTCTTTTCCATCCCAGCTGATCCTGTATATGAAACTACACACCATTACAGGCCCAAAGGATGCAAACAGATGTTATTTTGATTGCTCAGGTGTGCAAATGACTGGAACAGTGAAATCCAGCAAGGACTGATGCTAGTGCATAAGCAGCCAGGGTGGAGCTTTGTACCGGGAGCTGGCAAGCTTTCTGTTTCTATGCTGCCACCTCACCAGTTTTACATTTCATAGACACAAAAAACTGTTCATGCCTAGAAGCCAAATTGCATTTATTTTGCTTTTCCAAACCTTGCTTGAAGCCATGAATTCATGAGCAATATGAGGGGCAGGAAAAAAAAAAAAGAAAAGGAATGTGGTTTGTATTATTATCTTTCAATTTCCCTGCCAAATGCTGAAGTTCTCATGTGCAGGCAATCCTCAGCTAATTAATTTCTGAAGTTCATGCAAATGCTCCTGTTACCAATACCTGATCCTCCTTTCCCAGGTAGCATGTACACAACAACCAACAATTTCACAAAGTCCCACGGCTGTTCTGCTGTCACAAACATTTCACTTACTTGTTGCCATGTTAATCTCAGACGTTCAAATTGCTCCTTCCCATCTTCTGAGCAATCAGAGCAAGTAAATCTGAAAAAGTTATCTCCTTTGAGGTAGCTGAGCTGTTCTCTCAGTTGACCTAAAATGAAAAGGTCAAAGTCAATCTTTTTGCCCTTTTAGAGGAAAAAGTGCTGCAAAGGAAATTTGGATTTCTTCCAAGATCAGGTTTGTCTGAACAAAAGTCACAGAACCACCTGTAAATCCCCATGCACCCAAAGTTACAGGCTCTAATTCCGTGTTTCTAAAGCAGAGGAAAAAAAAAATCATACGATTCAGGGCTTCTAAACTCACCAGGAGTTAATTTACACAAACATGAACAAATGAAAAATGGCATCAGAGGACAGGGAAACAATGTTAAGACTAGAGTGTTTCTGGAAAGTCACACTCAAAGATGTTTCTCTACAAGGATGTCATCTCTTTTACTGTATAATTTTATTATTTTTAACATATGGGTACCCTGCTTCCATACTGAATTGCAATTTAAGTTCCAACTGCATCTGATGGGGGGAAAACCCCTCGCACTTGGTAAACTGAGAATTTCTAAGTGGCAGCTCAATGTAAAAAAGTGATTATTTGCCTGAGCAGGTTGGCCATTTTCACATGAGACAACTGAACCCCCTAGAACTGAATGATCAGGAAAAAGCACAGTATCTCCCTTTGGCAGCTCGTTTACTCGACACAATTGTATATAGCTACCGTTGCTTTGCAACTGGCCTTTTCTGCTCCTTGGATTTGTCCCACAGCAACTGCAGAGAGGAACACATTTGTAAAATAAAACAAGTTGAGTGTTAAATCAAGTGCTCTATATGAGATAGCTCAAGCTACCTTTAACTGCTTCATTATTTTTATTAATACATTTCAAGTTAATGTTTCTCTTATTGCATAGTAATTTAATAGTCTGGTGCTGGTTTCATTACATTAACACCTAAACATTCATTCACACGCCTTGAGAGGAGATTTTTACACTGTAAATTTTGACAAATCCTGTGAAGACAAAAAGGGCAGCTCTGACATATCTGCAAGGCAGGTGCCACCTAAACAGTTCCTTATTTCTAACCACAAACAAATAAACAAACCTCACAAAACCCCCGAATCAAATCAAATAATAATAAAAAAAAAAACTCCACCAAAACCAAAGCCAAGGTGTTCAGCAATATCTGGCTCTTGAATGTAATAACAGATCAGATAATCCAGAATTTAGAATGTAAAGCTGTCTACTACACTGCTAACAGCATATGTCTTATGTCAAGTGCCAGAGGAGGGGCACCAAATTCTGCAGCTTGCTCCTAACACCCCCCAGAGCTGGCTGCTGAAGGCTGGGCATGTTTCTAAGCAAACTTAAATTCAATTATTGGGAAAACATAAAGGTTGAGATTTAGCCATATGCTCCACAGATGTGACAAATCACCAGGGAGGGGAAAAAAAAAAAGTAACACGCAAAGTCCTTTTCCTCCCCAGAGCTTTACAGCAAGGGTCATTATCTGAGCAAGCAGAGAGGTCAGGTCGCTTGGCCCAAGCCCCTAAACAGCTGCAAGAATCGTCAGGGTGGGCACGTTTCTGAACTTTGATGTTCTCTATTAACTGAAGAAGAGTTTCACTTCCTCAGGAGAGCAACAGCTCTGGGCACACACAGCTCCTGGACTGAAGTGCCTAACACTGCCAGCAGGCATCACCCACCAAGGCAGGACGGGGAGCAAGCCGTGAAAGAGGAAGGCAGGACAGCACAAACACCTTGCAAACACCCACAACGGCCAGCACAACACAGCCTTACTTGCTGGGATCCACTTCTGGCACTTCTCACAGTAATAGGACATCTCCTCCATCCAGGACGCTTCACCCTCGTCGCTGTTCAGGGAGTCCCCGCTCTGGTCGTGCGATAAATCCACGGAAGCCTGGTCCTCGGACTCCACGATCAGGAGAGTCTCCCCTTCCACCTCGCCCTCCTCCAGGCCCTCGGAGGTGGAGGTCCTGGTGGCTTCATCATCGTGGCGGCTGAGCAGCCCACTCATGTGAACGTTGTTGGCCATCCTAGAGGGAGAGGGAGCCTGCCCAACAATGAGCTCTTCCTCCCCAGTTTCAGACGTGGGCCAAGCCTCTGCAGTCCAAGTACCAATCACAGATTAAATGGGCTTTTGTCTGCCCTAAAGCTGCAGAGGCTGGATTATAGTTTATACAAAATAACCAGTCTTTCACAGATTACCTCTCTTTGTTAAAACACCTGCAAGAAGTGAGATGCATACGACCTTCAAACGTCTTTAATGAAACCTCTAAGGAGCCAGGCTCGTGCCTAGGACTGCTGGGAACGTTTTTCCATTAGCGCCTTGTCTCTCTCTTCAGTGAGCTGCTTTGTCAGAGCAATCTGCTCTTCTAACAGGCGAATGTTCTCCTTTTTCTGCTTCTGACGCTCAAGATCTCTGACAACGCCACTTCGCAGCCTCTGAAAACACAAAGGACAGGGTTTATCACAGCCCGGGGGATGCTGATCCGGACCAACCCCACCCAGGCTCCAGCCCTCCCGCAAGGCTGTTCCCTCTGCTGCTCTTGCAGGGTCTTCCCACAGCGACTTACCGTAGCTGGAACCCTCAGGAGCCAATCTCCAGAATCACTACACCAAAAAGTGCTTTATTTGCGCTCACTTCAGAGGTTGGGTTTGCTAAGGGACAAAGCTATTGAGCAAATTAATGCTCGGAGCCTGTAATTCCCGTGCCATGCAGGAGGGATGTGATCTGAAAAATCCTGTCATCTCAGACCTAAATCTTTACCAAATTAGAATGAGCTCCTCAAAACTTCTCTACTTGGAGGCAATTTTGTCACAAATTGGAAACTATTTTAAGATAAATTGGCATGTGTCTTCACTTGCTTATTTCTGCTCATGTCTTAATCTTTAAAAAACACCCACAGCCTGCTTATGCCAAACTCTTGAAAAAGCAAGGCACTTGCTTCACAAATATCCCATTTACCTCAAACATTCGTTATAAATCATGTAAATATACAACACATATATACATAAATACATAACGTGCAACACAACATCAGCAGCTTTCAGCCTGGGGTGCAACCCCTCAAGGGGTGTAAAAAGCCCTAAGAAAATCCCAGCTGCTTCCTCCACATGCTTCTCTCTCTTACCTAGACATTTCCACTCACATTGATACTTGGATAATTAGGTGAAAGATCAGTAATTTTTGACCCATTTGAATGATGCCAAAATGCACCTGCAAATAATTTATTGGAAAGCTCGCCCTGAAGTCACTTGAGAGGATGTCTGTGACTATTATTCAACAAGTTATCGCAGGGTTTAATTCCTCACCTATCATGCCAATGACTGCACACTTCAAAAGCAATCATTTCTCCTGTCAAGACCAAAACAGGAAGGTTTTGTTTAAGAAATAATTTTATCTTGTTAAGAAAATGCACAGCCGCATGTGTCTGCCATAATCAAAACTCTCCAGAAATTAATGTAATGAAACCAGTTCCTTCCCACCAGCTTCCATCAGCTGAACTCAGGCTATGAATTACTGCAATTACTGATTACTACAAATCAGTCATTTGAAACTGAACACAAAGTTCATAAAGTTATTATTACATTACTCTTAGTTAATAAAAAGATGTGAGGAGATACAAGGTAACTGATCAACTGCACCACGAATGTAACCCTTTTTCCTTCACAAAACACTGCAATCTTTCAGATGGTGGATGTATTTACTTTGAAAATGTACATTTTACAAAAGACACCTTTAGAATTTGAGTGTCACAAGTGACAAAGATCTGAAATGAAAAAGTTAACCTTCTCATCTTCCTCTATTCTTGGAAGTTAGCCCTGCTTGTCTTCTGCAGGCATGAAAAGTATGTGCAAGCTCAAAGCACTCTGGGCCTGGCACATCAATTTATAAAGGTCAAACGTTTATTAATCTGCATGAAGATAAACTTGAAATAATCTCTACACCAGGACTGTAAAATATCCACATTATTTTTTCCCATTATGTTATCTGGATAACTGGCTCTGTAGAACATGAAGCCACTACTGCTTGCCTTGGCCATGAAGAATTATAAAAAGAAAACTCAGATTTAATTTACAAAACAAGCTTTGAGCCTTGGACCTTCTGAGTAGGTATTAGCCTAGAATAGGATTTGGGTCAAAAGATCCATGCAGTTTAGGTGTCCCACTGAAACACCCAAGGGTGATGTTTATTCTGCAGCACATGTTCAAAGTACAACTGCCATTAATTGCAGCTGCAGTTTAGTTTAGGAGCATTTAGCAGCTATTCCTGCCAGATCCTCAGTGCCTCACGGCAGGCACACTGAATCAGAGAGCAGCCAGCTACAAAAATGTGATGTGATCTACCTAGAATATGTTAGGTGATCTACCCAGCACATCCATCAGCTCTGGCAAGGGCAGAGCCATTGCTGGTTGCCACACCAGGATCCCAGCGATCCTTGCCTGTGCCATTCAACTTCTGCTCACACAAACCTGCCTCTTTCCTTACCCAGACCAGTCTCATCCTCCAAATTCCATCCCTCTCAAGCACTGACAGAGACCATCTCTTGAGGGGAAGAAAATGTAATCCTCTAATTACAGAATGTATCACAAAGCCCAAGCAACAGCCAGCTGAGCTGGGCTATGGATTGGGAAGCTGAACTCTGGTGTTCTGTAACTTCTGACTGCCTCAGTGCCATTTGACACAGGCTGTTTCTGTGTGCAGTTTCTAGATTTTTTTGTATGTAAGTGGAGAAGGCTCAGACGTGTGCCCTCACATAACCCTGGGCTCATCAGCAGGGTCCAAACCAGCACACTCCCTGCCCACACAGCACAGCTTTACACAACCTTTATACACAGCTTTTAGTCCCAGGCAGGACTGCTCGGCTCTTGGACTCACCATGGTCATACCTGACACCTTTTGGCTGTGGGCTCCCTGGCACACAGGCTGCTTGCCAGGAATTCCCTGATTTTTGTAAATATAGCACAGAGAACCTCCACTGGGCCTCGCCTGGAGCTCCCCGCTGCTGTTTGCCCCTCAAGGGAAACACACAGGACAGCATTAGGGAGCTGGTGCAGCTAAAAGAGCATGGGAAGCACAGGGGCCAAGGCAGGAAAACACAGGGAAGAGGTGGCTTGTGGAAAGAGCACCATCGGGGGCAGCGGGCAGGGACTCTGGGAGCCGGGCTGGGCACACACAGTGCCCGAAGCCCCAGTGCAGGGGCATGGGGTGCGGGACAAGGAGCTGGGATGGATGGATGGATGGATGGATGGATGGATGGATGGATGGATGGATGGATGGATGGATGGATGGATGGATGGATGGATGGATGGAGCAGGCACACGTGGGCTCAGGTGCGGGTCCGCAGCGTGCGCGGGGCGGGGCTTAGCGGTGGGCGGAGCTTTTTTCCAGTGGGCGTGGCTCCGCGCTGAGCCCGCAGGTGGGGGCGGGGCGTGTCGGCCGCCAGGTGAGGGGGCGTGGCCTCATTGCGGGGGCGGGGCCTGCCCGGCGGGGGGCGGGGCCGCACTGAGGGCCGGGGCAGGGCCCCGCTCGCCTCCTCCCCCCCGCGGCCCGCGGCGCGCACTCACCTCCAGCTCCCGGCGCTGCTGGATGTGCACGGCCGCCACGATGGCGGCGGAGAGCAGCGCGGAGACGGCCAGCGCCAGGCGGGAGCCCCGCGACATGGCCGGCGGGCACTGATGGGCGGCGCGCCCCGCCCCCGGCCGAGCGCCGAGCGCAGCGAGCCAGGCCCGAGCAGCCGAGCGCCGATGCGGGGCGGGGCGGGGCGGGGAGGCGGGAGCGGCTCCCGGGAGATGCCGCCCCGGGAGCCGGGGCTCTCTCGGTGCTGGCCAGAAACTCTGCCTTGGGGCGCTAAAAACGGGCCTGTGTTCCCTCAGCGCCGCTGGGGATTGGGTGCCCAGCTGTGCCCGTGTCTCCTGGGGCTGTTCCCTGGAGCTTCCTGCCGGAGATGGCGAACAAAAGGCGGTTTGTGCTGCGTGCAACGCACATCGCTGGTTTTGTGGAGTGAAGACCACCAGTTCTGCGCTCTCCTCGCCCAGAAATCCCGAATTGCATGGCAGAAGCAGCTGGAGAAAGCTGCTCCTCAATTGTTTGGTTTCTTCTCATTGTTCAGTGTGTGGCCTTAAGGCCTCCTGTTTGCCAGTTTTTTGTGCTCCGAAGACAGAATTATTCCATCCCCAGCCCTGTCTGCAGTGGAAGAGGGAAACCAAACACACGTCAGGCTGATCTCTCCTCATTATAATCTTTGTCATCTCTCTGCTGAATGAACGCGATTAAAATGAAAGGTGAAATCAGTGGGGATGCTAATATTCCAATCGGGTCTGATGGCAGTGCTCACCTTGGTGTGTTTACTCTCCTTAGGGTTTGTGCATAAATGCTTGTAAGGGGTCCAAGGCCACTGGAGTGCCAAGAACGGGGTCGAGCCGGGAGCCTGGTGGGTGGGAGCCAGCGCAGCACCCTCGGCACTGGGGAAGGGTGCATCTCCCCCAGTGCCTCCACCCGACCCCGTCATTAATCTCTGGAGGGGCTAAAATCCCCTTTCACAATCCCGGTTTCTGCCCTCTGGTTCTGATGTTCCTGCTCCTCCCCTTCTCCCAAGGGCTGCGCCTCGCTCAGGGGCTCAGCTCCCGTGTCCTGCCCCTGCTCCCCTGCTCTGCCCCCTCTCCGTGCTCTGGGGTGAGATGGGACCTTTCCCAAGCCCACATTAGCCGCTGGTTGGTTTAAAAGCCCGTTTTCCTTTCTCGGAGCCCTGCTGCAGGGGCAGGGAAGCGGTGTGATGGCGGTGGGAAGGGCAGGAGTGCCCAGAGGGGATGTGCACGAATGGGGGATGTTTTCCTGCTGGGGAAAACCTCCCCAGCTGCTGGTGGGCAGAAGGACACGAGAGAAGAATTCAGCCCAGCGAACACGAGCCTGGTGGCTGTGTCCATGAGACTCCCAAATGGAGAGGCAGAGCATGGGCTCACACCGAGGGGGAGGTGGATCAGGAGGGTTTCTCTGCTGGTGAAACCCGTGCTGTGCCCAGAGCTTTGGTGCCCTCTTTCCTGTGCCGGGTTCCTCCGTTGCTGGCCCGGGAATAGCGGCGCAGCCGCTGATGGAGGTGGGGCCAAGCGCCAGGAGGAAAAGGGCTGGGTCACCCCTGAAGGAGACTGGAAAGCTCAAGGCCATTTTTCCCCTGGGCAAACAGCTCAGATCTGGATAATGATCTCGGATAACATCTGCAGTCCATCCTTAGAGGGCATTTTTATCCTGGATTTCAAAGAAAATTCAGCTTGTGCAACCCCTGTGTGCCTCATCCACCCTCCACGCTCTTTCACAGGCATTTGGCACCCTCTTTGATAAGGCTGCATTGCAGGCCCTGTCTCAGTAAGACTTCCACGTTTATTTCCCTGTTCCAGCCGCTCTGATGGATGAGGAGTTCTGGCTAGGCTTTGGGTCATGGGTGGTCACTCTGGGAGCTTCCTGTGAAGAGAAGGGGTGGCAGTGTCAGCTCAAGCCTGTACTAGTCACCAGAAAAGGGGCTCTTCACTTGTGGCTTGCCTTACTGGCAAAAGAAAAAGGACTGAAGCCTAAGGAAGATGTCCTGTAAGATATGGAAAGGGAGGGAGGAAAGTTCGAGCACAGCCCATTTCCAGGTTTGGTCCTGAACCACAGCCCCCTCCTGCTCCGTTTGTCCTGTGTAATGTGAGGAGCCAGCCTCAAGTTATCAAGTTAACAACCTCAGTTATCAAACTGCAAACTAACACAAAATAATAGTAACAATTTCAGAAACCATCCTAAAGGCATGTTTTCACACAGCTTTCTCGGTTTCCCCCCCGTGTTCTGGTGAGCTGCTGGCGGTCCTTCCCTCTCTCTCTGCAGAGGCAGCTCTCGCTCCCTCCCTCCCAGTGTGTGTGTGTGTGTGTGTGTGTGTGTGTGCTCACACGGGGGACTTTGCACACACCCAGAGCTCCCCACTGGGACACAGGGCCTCGCCTGCCTCAGTGGCAAAGAAGACAAAAAAACCCAAAACCTGAATTCAGCCTAACCCAGCTTCCATTTGCCCAGTGAAGCTGAGGGTGGCTGGTGAGTGTGGGTGCCTGTGCGGCTTTGCCAAGGGCTCGGGGTAGAGGCAGAGCTGAGGAGGGGAGCAGGCTGTGCCTGCCGCTGTTAGCATTGATTTTCTCCTTATGGCAGTGCTAATTATAGCAGCAAAAAGAACTAATTGCTGTGTGTTAGGCACTTTTATCTCACCGTGATACCTTTTCTCCCTCCAAGAAACGGAATTATTCCCGTCCCTCCGCAACAGGGACGGACCTGCCTGTGATGGTGTAGGCACTGATGGTCCAGGTGCAGCCACCCTGGCCCTCCAGGAAATATTCCTGTAGGATTTGCTGGCAGGGTCGTGTTGTTTGTAATCAAAAGTGCATTATGCAGAGGAAAAAATTGTAACGTATAACTTTTTGTGTTCCTCCTCTGTAATTCAGAGGGGTGACTGAAGGCTTCTCTGTGCACGGAAACCCCAAAACTAGTTTTAATTCATGAAATGTATGTATTAAAAATGCTTTATTTTGACCAGGTCAGGCTCCTTTCCATGCAGGTGGAGGTGTGCCTGGCTTGGGTGAGTTTTATTTTTTGATGGGCATGAATGAAGTGAAAGCCCTTGGAACTCATCCCCTCAGCACCTGTACAGAAAGAAGGTCTGTGAACCTGTTCTCGCCAGGAATTTGGATGAATTTTGTTGCTCCTCCCATTCAGACAAGCCCCAAGGCCTTCTGATAGTTCTTCCCAGGCAGCTGGAGGGAAGCAAATCTGATTGTCCTGAGATTTGAATGATGGAGTAAAGATAAATTAGGGGGGGAAGATGACAGAATCCTTTACCAGCAAGGAGCACTGAAACTTTCCTTCCATTTGCAGGGCAGCCTGTGAAACAGTTACTTGGGATTTTAAATTCCCGGTGCACTTCCTCCTTCCAGCCAAGAGGGCAGGAGCCCCGGGGAACCGCTGCTGGAGCCCTGCTGCTTTTACAGCCGGGCTGGTGTGACTGCACGTCGGGCAGCCAGCCCCGGGGACACCGGCGGGTCACCTCCAGCTAAATCGGCTAAGGTGTGGGGCTGCCACCCGGCGCCAGCACCTCATACTGCCCTGGCCACAGGGGGAAAAGCAGCCCCCAGACACCCCACGCTCCTTCCCTGGCATCACCAGCGTGAGGGAGTGAGGAGAGGGGTCTGGATGCCCCTCCCCGCCCCACCATATCCCTCCCTGCCTTCCCCATGGCATCCCCTCGTTTTGGGGCGCTGCAGAGGGTACCAGACCCGGGGAGTGCAGCCTGGCTCCCTCCTGCAAGTTCTTCCCCTGAGAGGGGATGAAATGCAGGCAGAGGCCAAAGTCTGCCTGCTCAGCGGCAGGGAGAGGATGCAATCCCAGCAGTAATAATTATATTGGTGGCAATTGCACAGACCCTTGCCCGCGGCCGGCGGGAACGGCGGCAGCACTGCTGGGAACCGAGGGCAGGGGTGCTTGCTGGTTTAGGGCTGGGCTGCTTCTCTCCTGGAAATCATTGTCAAAGGGAGATCAAAACCGTTGTGCACGGCTCCCTGAAGTGTTGGCAGGGCAATTCTGCAGTCACGCTGCAGCTTGCAGGGTGGAAGTTGTGGGGGGTCCTGGCCCCCAAAGCAGGCTGAGCTGCCCCCCCCAGCTCACACCCTCCCAGGGCTCTCCCATGGGGAAGAGGGGAGCAGCCATGAGGGCAGCAGGGAGAAGAGGGCTCATCTGGGGGTGGAAGTTGTGGGGGGTCCTGGCCCCCAAAGCAGGCTGAGCTGCCCCCCCCAGCTCACACCCTCCCAGGGCTCTCCCATGGGGAAGAGGGGTTCTTGGGCTGCAGCCATGAGGGCAGCAGGGAGAGGAAGGCTCATCTGGCTGTGTGTGGAGGGGCCAGAGGCATCCATGGGTGCTGCAGCCAGCTCTGAGCCCCCTCAGTGGCCAAACCAGAGGAAGGAAGGGGCCCAGCTGGAAGCAGCACCGCTGCGCTCCCATGGCCATTCCCAGCAGCAGGGTGTGTGTGTGCCGGCGTTTGGCTCGTCCTGGGCGTGTTGGAGCACATGCTGTGCTGTAGCACAGGCGGGACAGGCAGGGACTCTCCAGCAGCAGCGCTGGATCCCCATTGGAATCAGCCCTGCCCCTGCACGTGTAGCACCAGGACAAGGAGCAGGAAAGGTGCATCCCTAACAAGGCAGTTCCCAACACAGGGCTTGGGATGTCCTGTCCTGTCCCCTAGCCCTGCCTGGAGCTGTTTTGTGCCCGGGATGGCATCACCACTGCCAGTGGCCAAGGCTGTCCTGGTGGTCTTCTTGTCGGGGAGGAGCTGGGAGGAGTGCAGCAGAGCCATCTTCTCTTTCTCCTGCTGCCAAAACCCCAGGGAGCACTGCCAGGGTGCAGCAATGGGACTGTCCCAGAGCACCCAGCTGGGAACAGTTATTCCTTCCTCCAGCTGACCCTCTCTGCCCTTATCACTTCCTTCTCACTCCAATAATCCTGCAAAGGGAGAGCAATGGCAGGGACAGCGCCTAGCCCCTCCTGGAGATTTTTGAAATGGTAAAGAAATGCTTGAACTCCCTACGCATACAATGGGATTTATGGCAGCCGTCATCCGGCAGGAATGAGGAAGCCTTGGGGGGCCCCAGAGGTGCCAT